AATGAACAATAGTAAATAGTCAGCGTATAACGAGAGTATGTGTTCTGAACCATATTACATTACATTACATTACATGTCACTTGTTAGACGCTTTTATCCAAAGCGTCTTACATACTCAATACTGTGGACAATCCCCACAGGAGCAATTTGGGGTGAAGTGTCTCAGGGACACAACGACATGCTGACTGCAGTGGGGTTTGAACCTGTGACCCCCTGATCCCAACACCAACACTCAACCCACTGTACCACACGCCTCCCATATCTGGTCATTCCTTGTGTAAAGCTGGCAGATTTAAGCGCAATTGATAGGGGTTCGATCGCCATGGCGAATAGTAACAGGCTTAGAGGGCAACCCTGGCGAGTACCTCTACCTAGTGTAAAATATTGAGAAGTCATCCCGTTAGTACTCACTGAAGCCTTGGGTGAAGAGTATAACAATGCTATCCAGGACACACATTTGGATCCGAGGCTGAACCTCTTAAGGACCTCAAATAGAAAGCCCCCACTCCACCACATATTATACTTTTACCTTGACTTTTAATTGCACACTACTCTAATATTTTATTACTTTTTATAATAAAATGTAGAAAACTAACTATACTATGACATTCTTTATAGGGACATTTTCAAGATTGTAACTAAATCTTTCAGCCTTCCTTGTTAAACTCCTCTTACATGAAATACACCGCTCACCACTCCTTTACAGAACTCATATTTACGTGTCATTGACCCGTGTGTTTTTGTGATGTGATTTTCAGGACTCTAAGGACCTGTACAGCGAGTGTTTACGCACCTTCTGGGGCTGTCCAAACTGTGACCTCTACATGCCTCTCACTCCGCTGGAGCGCATGCAGCACGAGGCCTCCTGCAGGCCGGCAGGGGAACAGCAGCAGTCAGAGGAAGGTCAGCGACTGCCTGTGTTCATATTTATGTCTGTGTATCTGTAGGTTTTAGATGACTTCAATACATGCCTTACCTGTCTTGTTAGGATATGAATCATTTGAGCCTAACTGAGGGTTTTGTTTTCAGAGCCAGAAGGGGCAAAGGCAGTCTCCTCCTCTTCCTCCTCCATGTCCAGTCTCACCAGAGTTTATCACTGTGACGTCTGCGATGAAGATCTGACCCTCACCTCCACTGAGATCCTCAAACATAAAAGGCAGCACATGTATTCTACCAAGTAGCAGCTTCCTAAGGACAACAACTAATCACAACGGGTCTATTCTGTCAAGGACATATTTGAGTTTATAGAATGAAGTTGTTATGTTTGTGTCACTATTTTTCTTCCCTTTTTTACTCGAGGAATTTCATTAAACTGCTATTCCTTCCCTTTAACAGCCTCTGTGTGTATTTTCTGTAGCCCTCTGCCTAGTTCTGTTGCAATACCAGATATCTAGATTGCAGAATTGAACTGCACAAAATGACTGAAATGTAAAATAACAAATAACATAGTTATAGGATTGATGCTTCTGCAAATTCCTTAGATAACATTCAAGGGCCCTATTATGCAAATGTCCAGGTACAGATTTGTATTTTGTGTCTCTTCTGTGACACGTCTTCATGCTTTAATGTTCAAAAAGCTCTTTATTTTTCTCATACTGCCTGTGCTGCAGCACCTCTTTTCACCCTCTGTCTGAAACCAGAGCCCAGTCTGCTCTGATTGGTTAGCTCTGTTTTGATTGGTCAACCGCTAAAAGATGTCCCATCCCTTAGCCTAGTACGTCAAATGTGTTGGAGCGCTAGCCAATACAAGTGTTACGTAATGATGTCACTAAGTTACACAAGTAAACAAAGGAGTCCAATGGAGGAGTTTCAGGCAGGGGGGGGGGGGGGGGGAGTGTGTGGGAGAGAAACCCCCTATAGAGGGAACACAGGCCTTTGAGACCATTATGAACACAAACAAACCTATATAACACTACAGGAAATGTAAAACCCCCAAAAAATAATAAGGCCCCTTTAAGGATATTTGTGTTAACATAACTTCCCTCCAATGTTTCTGAGAAGTTAAGGACACATGAGAAAGAGAGAAGTAGACACTGATTTTAAAATATAGAGTGAGGGTTTAATAATGATACAAACCCACGATATGTAACACCTCAAAGCAGCACATTGGCACAAAGTCAGAAGTAAGACAGCACGGAAGATAAAAACCTGTCTCAAAAAAATAAAGAATCAGAATAAATATCTCAATAAATAAATAAACAGGTAATATCTCATTAATTACTTTGAAACTAATAAATACGTACATTTGAAAATATGCACATTGGCAGAAATCAATAACCCAAAAAAGTAAAATAGTACTTAACACAGAGTTACTTAGAAATCATAAGTTATTGATTACTCAAATCAAAAGGCACATTTATTAAGATGTAAGAATGGGGCCTGAACATTGTGACCGCATGACTGTCAGTACTGTACTCTAACACCATTTCTGAACCAGAAGTAGCAAACTGTGTGCAATGGCTTCACTAGTTCTGTGTGTCTGCACCATCGAGTGAACGTGTGTGTGCGGGTCTATGCATCGCAGATCTGTGAGGATTGTGTGTGAGGGGGGGACAAAGGGGGTTAGGATCAGGGAATGGCAGTCTAGTGACGGACTGTGTGTGTTAGGATTAGGGTTGCATGTCCTTTATTTTTGGAACAATGAGCGTCCCATAACCGAGAGGTCAGGGGTCACGTTCATCAGCAGGTGTGTGTCCTGTCTCTGAACCCTCTTTACTGCCTGTTCACTCACTTTAAGTCACTTTGGATAAAAGTTCTTGGCTAAACCTAAAAATGTAAATAATCTGGTGAAGCTTCTGAAAGGTTCATTCTGCCATAATTCATGATCCCCTCACACTGTTAGGATTTCATCATTCTGGATGCTCAGAGCATTTTGTGATTTATTTTGAGATGATTTGTTGTAATCTATATGTCAGTGTTCCCTATTTTTACACAACCTTCGAATCAACATCTAGCCTTCAAGAAAACGTTCCAAAACTCAGAAAATAAGTTAGTTCTTGATTTTGGTGAGGAGACCAATTTGAACAGTTCAAGGTATAATAGTGCCTCCGTTTTTCAGTTCTACAAAATAATGTTATCTTTGCAATTTGGTTGCAAGAGGCTCACTTCTGTAGGGTAACAAGTGTCTCTACCTCTTATAATATATATGTCCTTGCATGATAGTTCAACACTAGTGAGTTCATTGATTCGTTGACATATTAAGATTTCTGCTTGACAAAATGTGTCCGTAGCTTTTAAACTACCATGGCCAGCAAAACACTGTAAGTATAAAAATATACAGCCAATCAGCAGAATAGACACAGAAATGCAAGATTCATCCCCGATAGCGTTTCCATTTTAAATGTCTTGAGTTTAATTTATCTTTAAACCTAACTATAAACTCAAAAACGTACACTATGTCACTTCCTCAGCACCTTGAGTAGGATAAGAACTTTGATAAGGATTGTTTTTACTCTGCCGCGACACCTCATCGATTGTTAAGAGACGGCGGGAAATTTAAATAGGATTAGGACAGGAATTAAAATAGCAGCTTTTTCTATCTTCATAATTAAAGCAACATTCAGCAAACACATCTCCCCCTGTGCCCAAACGAAGACCGACCGCCATTCTTCTTTTTTCAACATAATGTGCCTCTTTCCTCATCACAGGGTCGACAGTCTGCAACGCACCTGTGAGCTACGTGCTGCAGTTTTATCATTTCTGCTCCATATGGAACACAATAACACACTACAGTTTTCAGTTCCAACACTTTTTAGATTTTCCTAACGTGAGCGACGGGTACAAAAATACTCTTTCAATACATTGTTCATTGCACTTAATGTTTTTGGTGGCGTCTCATTCGAAGGCCTAGACACGTCTGCGGATCGGTTAGCGTGGGGTCCTGTTTTCCTTTCTCTTTGGGGACGGTACGTGTACATTAGGTAGAATAGACTCGCGCAGAGGCCTCAGTTGTAAGCACCTTGACTGATTCAACAAGTACAGTGGTTGGGATGTGATGTCCTCTATGGTTAATATTGGAAAATACACGGAAAGATGAAAAAATATGTGTAAAGTGAGCGTGTTTTTAATGTTCGACACACATTCTCTTGATTTTCTTTTTTTCTACTTTTTTTATAAAACAAAAAGAACCTTGTGTTTGGTTACAAAGGACCATTATGGATCATTATGACTTTTAAGTCTTTGTGGTTGTCATTGCAACTTCCCTTAACATGAATTGACCCTTTGCATTTAATAACCTTTCCTCCACTGTGGTCTCCTACGTTAACCAACACCAGTGGTCTCAGATGTTCACACTTTCTTGAAGACTGCACTTTTGCTCGACCCCCTCCCATTCTCTTTTCATTCCTGAACAAGGGCTGAGTAACATCTGAGGTAAAATTAGAGGTAAAGGGTGACATCTGCTCATCTGACTGATAAACAGGCCAACATGAAACAAATAACTTCCCCAAGAAGATCTCATGTCTGTGAATACGTGATAGTGTGTGCCATCGGGGGATTCTGTCAATATGTTTTACATTTAATAAAATATACCAATTCAAATGATAACAATCATATATATAAACATCTTTCGTTTTTTGTGTTTTTCCTTTCTAAATAAAAAAAAAACAGACATTTGAAACAGTGTACACATCATCTTAGCCTATGCCACTCTCTTCCTGCGATAAAGTCTCCGACGCTGATTCTAGATCAGCCGACCCTCAGTAAATCCACTACGAAGGCTCCAGATGACTCCCACAGAGCCTGGTCTGAGTGCGGTGTGCCCCCAATAGGCAGGGGCCAGTGAGGAAGGCCTCGGGTTGAAAAAGAGAAAGAGCGGAATGCAGTGGAAGGCCGCGGGGCTTTGGGGGGTCACGTCAGAGGTCTGGGTCTCCTGAGAGAGCTGTACCACCTGCTTAACTCCACCTGCTTTACTCTACCTCCTCCGTCCCCACAGATGCTCTCTCCTCCGAACACCCAAACCTCCTTGGTCCAGGGAACCCCCCCCACCCCCTAGCCTGGCCTCATCGGACCGCCTTGTGCTTTCCCCCACAGCAGCCACACCTCTCCCCACACCGCAGGCAGGCGTGCAAAGGCAGGTAGCAGCACATGCAGGGCACGAAGAGGGACAGGGCCACGAGGGCCAACCAGCGGGCACAGCACAGGGGGTGTGGGTGGCCCCCCAGCGAGTCTTCACACGAGCAAGGCTCCCAGAACTCCCCCTCAGAGTCCGACATGCAGTGGTAGAGCAGACTCTCTGCGCACCACACACAGGTCCACTGGCGCAGGCAGTGCAGGGCGGGGTCCGGGGCGTCTCTGCAGCGGCCCCGCCCGTTCTCCGAAGTGCTGAAAACAGAGCGGCAGTACACACAACGTGATGAGCATGAAGATGAACCCTGAGGACACGGGCTGTCGTCGTCAGGGGAGATCACCCCTGGGTCACCACCACCACTGGCCCCTCCTCCTCCTCCTCCTCTCTTACGTGTCCGCGACCGGGGCGTGCCAAGTGAGGTGTGGATGCAGCAGGGGGAGGGCGAGCCTTTGCAGGTCTCCTGGGGGGACCCGGCGGGTGAGGACACGCCTGACACGGCGTTGGGCATGGACATGCAGGTGGGCGACGACGAGGACAGCCTCTGAGCAGCTTTACTGTCCAGAGGCACCGTCACGTCGCAGCCCGCCGTCCCCACCCCTGCCAGATCCTTCTCAAAGCGAACAACGCACAGCTCCGACTTGTCCTGGACACTCACTCCTCCACCGACAACCACACCCCCGGTCAGCCCCCCGACCATAGTCCTAGTGGCCCCCGCCCGCCGGTAGTCCTCGTAACCTCGAGAACCCCACAGGTCTTTGCAAGGGTCCACACTGTGCAGGTCTCCCTCCTCCAGCAGAGAGATGGTGGGTGAGAGGGGGGACAGAGGAGATGAGGCCGTGGGACCCATAGGAGGAGTAGGCGGAGCAGGAGGCGGGGGCCGGATGGCGATGGCGGGATTCAACACAGTCGTCATTTGTGAGAGCTGTCCCGGCCTGGTGTGGATCTGTGGAGAGGGGGTAGAGTTACAGAGGGAGTCAGGAACAGGGTGTTACAGGAGGCAATCATCCTGAGGGCATCTCAAACAGATGATCAAGACCCTTCAGTCAGTCGAGGGGGGTTTTCATTTCACCTATCCATTTATGTCTGCAGATGTGGACTTAAGTATGGAGAAACAAGGAGGGAATCAACCAGTCCACCTTCTGTGTTTTTTAGCTCTAATATCTAATATTGGATTTAAAGAGGACACATTGTGTCACTTTTTAGGTCCGTACTTGCATTTCCAGTGTCTACTAGAACATGTTTACATGCTTTAATGTTTAAGAAACACATTATTGTTCTCATACCGTCTGTCTGAGTGTACCTATATGCATCCTGTGCCTGAAACGCTCTGTTTAGGCACCTGTCTCTTCAAGATACACTTTCAAAAAAGTCTGCTCTGATTGGCTCATGAGAAAAATTCAGATAGGGGCGGTTTGTTCTAATGAGCCTATAGGTGTGACATAAGAAAGGGAGCCAAATCTACATGGCTTGTTTTTCGTGATATGTCCTTTTCAAATGACCTCTAATTTGGATCTAAGTAAGAGCACTCTTTAAGCTCTTTTGCCCCCAAGTGTGACCAGAACACATACAGAGAAATCATTTAAGATTACATAAACTTGTGTTCATTGAAGCATTGTGTTATCCCAACAAAGTACATGTGATGGACTTTGAGCAGACGATGTTACCTGAGCAGGCGTCTGAGTGGTGACTGCATGGCTGGATCCAAAACTAAACTCTTCCGACAGAACGAAGCAGGTAGACGACGACTCGCTCGTCACTATGGTGAGGGGTTTGGGAAGCATCTCCTTTCTGCTGTTGGACGACGACTCACTTCCTGTATGAGACTGGCAGAGGCTACATGTCAGACACACCAATAACTGCATAAGGTGCCCAATGGTAACGACAATAACTTAGAGAGTAAATGCTCAACTGATCAACTGCTCAGATACTCACAGCTTGTCCATCATCCTCGGTGTCGGCCTCTTCTGGTGTGGAGGACGAGGGCGAGTCAGAGCCTTGATGACATGGATAGAGAGGATTTAGTCCTGTTAGATACTTTCTAAAGCCTCTTCGAGCACAGCTGATGAGAGTTTTAACATATGACTCATATGTACCTCTGTCCAGCTTGTCTATGACAGTCTGGAGCCCTTTCTCGAAGGAGATGGCGTCGGCAGGACTCTGGAACGTAAGGCCAAACTTTCGATCTTCTACTCGCCAGTGATGGAAGATGGGGTTCACCTTGTTGTACACTAACCCCCTTTGCACTGCACACTCCAACACCGGCTAAAGACACAAATGGCAAACCCAGGAAGTTAGTTCCCTCACCAGGATGTATCGTTTCCTGTTCCTACATAACATGATGTACAGTCTTCGGGTGGTTACAGTCTTTACACACACGCACACACTCACTGCTCGATCTCGCAGCCGCTCTCCACGTATGATGTATTCTCTCCGCCCCCTGCCGTCTTGACTCCGCCCTTTACATATGACCACATGACTGAGGCCGCCACCTCCAAGGGGCACCCAACCGCCACTGGAGTCATCACGTGTCATCACCACTGCACGAACACGCACACTGTCAGGGAAGCCAAGAGAGTGAGCAGAGGCCTAGGCTGATTAAACAACGCAAGATTCAAGATTTAGATTCAAGATTCAAGATTGTCATCTGTACAGTAGCTACAGCGTAGGTATGGCAATGCAAATCTTAAGTCCCAGGCTCCTTCAACAATGCAACATAAATATATATAAGATATAAACAATAACAAATGGTGCAGGAAGAACATAACAGAAATAAAAAAAAGAGAATGTTGCCAGTGACCAATGTGCAGGTAAATGCACGCCATCTTAATTCATGAATGATATACACATATCAATGATCAATGATATACACAGACTCACACCAAAACCTGCAAACATGCAAGCCAAGATGAGCACATTCATTCAATTGAATAAAAAAACAAAAATAGGGTACTAGGATGATGCTAAGGCAACTGTTTCCAACTCCGGTGAACTGAGATTTCATGATGAAGACAGAATTGCCAGCTGGTGTTGCAACATGACAGCTCAAATCACACAGTTATAGCCAGGGTAGTGTTTGTTATCAATCCATGATCACGTGATTGAGGTAAATCGGATTTAATTAGCATGTGGTGACGGTAAACCAAAGTAAAACATCACGAACTATGTGTGGTTTTGCCTTAATTTAAACATATCTGGAGGATACTGAGAAATAAAACTGGGCCTGCTGACTAGGCTACATGCGCTGAGAATAAAGGAAGTGTGGATAGAGAGAAAGCCAGCGTTGAGGAGGAGAGACATGGCCAAATGGGAGGAGGGAGGAGGAAGAATGAGTGTTTCCCAGATAGATGTATCAATGAACGCACCCATTCGCCATCAGAGGCCCCGGCATTCTTGCAAAAATAAGCTCAGCCCTCGCCAGTCGGCTGAATAATTCAGCACCGCAGCTCGAAATGTGAATGTAATGCGTTCTCAGCCGTTGTTTCTTTTGGTGATTCTCAAATCACACCAAAGTACAAGTGTTGAAATGGGTTTCACAGACGCTCCTTTCCTCCATTCCGCCCCTGCTGCACGCACTCATTAACACACCCCGATATAAGGTTTTATTTATTTTTATGAATGGGATACAGCCAGTCTGGCTTCACTGTGCCTCGGATATTTCGCCCGGAAGATGCACAAGGCCTAAAATACAATGCGATCGCGTGTGAAAAAAGGGAAGGCAAAAGGAACGAGTGGGTGAGAGGATGGAGAGGAAACGAGAAATGGGGGGAGGGGGCCGATTAGAAAAAAGGGAAGGAGGAGAGGAGGGGTGAGGAAGAGTGAGAGCGAGCGAGGGAGAAAAAAAAATCACATTTCATTCATAAAGTTTGGCTTTAAAAAATCATAATGAAACCCCGAGACACGTTGATAAAAATCACAACGCCTCCATCCCTCCCTCGTTTCAATGTAGCCATGTCTTGAATGACGCGATGCTGGCCCCAAACTCGCCATATTTCGCCTCCCCCCCCCCCCATACATATTACACATTTCGTGACTGTTTTTACCAACCGCGAAACCACGCATTTAATTCAGAATTGTTGCACAGCTATTTGTTTAATATGCTTTACATTATTATTCCAGTGTCATGTTGTAGGTTGTGTGCCAGCCGTTTTAAAAGCACAGGTCCACATGTAGGTGGCTTCACATTTATCACATATTGGCATATCGGAAATGGGGTGTATGCTGTTGATTCAAGACTACGTAATGGTGTTTTTATTCTAGCCTGCTAAATTGTAGAGCACCGATTGTGATAAGAGTGCATGATGCTGGCTTGGTGTAACATTGATGGCGGTGGCGTTTTCTCTCTATCATCTATATTTCTGGCTGTATATATATATATATGTGTGTGTGCAATGTTAAAAATGAAAATGTAAGGACTTACTCGCCCTCCATGGCTCGGTGTTGCCCGCCGCTTGCAGCAGCCCACCCCAGGGTCTCTCCTCTCTCTCTCTTTTTTTATCCTCCTTTCAGGAAACACTCTCAGGCTCGCTCACATCCTCTCTCTCTCTATCTGCTCTCATTTTCCTAATCTTCCTCTCTCTTCCTCCCCTCTCTCTTCCTCTCGCACTCTCTCTCTCCACCTTGATGTCGTTTCGGTGTATTAGGATAGGCTTGAGGTTGCAGCAGCCATTTTCCGCTGGCAGCATCCTCCCTCTCTCTCTCCCTCCCTCCCTCCTCTCTCTCTCTCGCTCCGAATCTCTCTCTCTCGCTCCAAATCTCTCTCCAAATCTCTCTCTCTCTCTCTCTCTCTCTCTCTCTCTCTCTCTCCTCTCTCTCTCTCTTCTCTCTCTCTCTCTCTCCTCTCTCTCTCTCTCTTCTCTCTCTCTACCTGCCCTGTGCCAACACATCTGCACTAATCATTGACAGCATCCTGGCTTTAGGTGGCCCATAGGGTTTGACCAGTAGTGTAAAGTAACCAAGTACATTTACTCAAGTACTGTACTTAAGTAACATTTTGAGAGACTTGTACTTTACTTGAGTATTTCAATTGGTTGTTACGTTCCTTCTACCACACTACAAATCAGATGTAGGCCTACTTGTAATCCACTTGTGACTTTACACTGAAACAATTAAACAGTGACTTTAATTAAATGTATTCTGTCTACAGGTTCCTTATTATTATATAAGGTTAATTGAAAGCAATAGTATTAAGTTGAACCTATTGTTTTTTATTTAAAGTTAATAGTATTGCTTTCAACCAACCTAATACAAGTGTGTGTAATCTGTTGACAGAATATATTTATTTAAGTTCAGGTTTCAATTTTGTTGGAGTGTATTTATTTGGTACCTTTAGTTACTTTGAAAATGTGGATGAATTATATGAAATACAACCAACCTTTAAATAAGACTAGTTACACCTGGAGTAAATCCACAAACTACCCTGCAGTATACACAGTTATTAAAACTAGCTGCACCTTTACCAGCTGTAATAAACACAGTATTGCATCAATAATTATAATCAAAACATATTATATAAATAATTCTGAAATGGCCTAATGGGTACTTTTACTTTTGGTACTTTAAGTATATTTTGATGCTAATACTTTTGTACCTTTACGTAAGTAATCGCAGAGTATTACACTCTGGTATTTCTACTTTGACTTAAGTACACATTCTGAGTACTTCTTTTTCAAGCCACATACTAATGGATAATTGTGTTGTTGCTATGCTTAGAATATTCTTAAAAAGTAGCCTAAATAAGTATATTAAGGTCAGAGGTATAAGAATGACTGATATCCTATACTCAAGTAAAAGTCCTGCATTACAATTGTTACTAAAGTGAAAGTACAAAAGTATTAGCATCTAAATATACTTTATGTACCGAAAGTATGCATTATGCAGAATGGCCCATTTTCTAATATTATATATATATGTTATTATTATAATTATTGATGCATTTATGTGTTAATCACAGCTGGTAAAGCTGCAGCTAATTTTACAATTGTAATGCTGTATGATAGCTTGTGGATGTTACTCCATGTGTAACTACAATATTATTTAAGTGTTGATTATATTTCATATCATTAATCCAAATCTGCAAAGTAATTAAAGTATTATATAAATGTACTGGAGTTAAAATGCACTATTTAACTTTTGAATTGTATCGAGGTAGAAGTACAAAGTAGCAAACAATTAAACTACTCAAGTAAAGTACTCAAGTATATCTCAAAATTGTAGTTAAGTAAAGTATTTAGTTACTTTACACCACTATTAGGATCGTTGCGTTGGCAGCTTTTAGTCGTTAGCACCATGGACAGCGACACCCTGCTTATAAGAAACGAGATCTGACGTTTCATTTATATAATTAAGGCTTGTACACAATAAAACAGTTGACTAACTTATCATATGTTACTTTGTGGTCACTTAATTAAAAAAAAATACCGACCCTGATCTTTCATATTTCGAGACATTACACATATTTGTAGCAGGATACAGTGTAAACGTAGACATAGCTACACAGTGCTACAACACAGAATGATATTTTATGTTTCACAACGGGTTAAAATAAAAGTCGTACAAAGTAAATGCTCAAACTTCAGCTTTACTTAGTTATTCATTGTGTTAAAGCTTTGCAGCCTGGGGCTCATTCATATGGTTCGTTGGTCTAGGGGTATGATTCTCGCTTAGGGTGCGAGAGGTCCCGGGTTCAAATCCCGGACGAGCCCAGATTTTGAAACAAGGGCCAACATAACATTCCAAGAATTGTATTGCACTGACACATTGCAGTGACACTTTGCACATGGTGCCCCTGTAAATTATCAAATGAGATAGTTGCCACGTACCGGAAAACTCCAGATCCAGTTCCGGGTGCTGCTCCCAGGCTTGGACCATGGGCGAAACAAATCACAGAAAAGATCCCTTACGTGGATCAACAAAATACCACCTTGTGCTTTATTCAACCCCGTTGTGAAAGTAAGGTAATTACGTTGTTAAACTGATAAATAACATAGCCTCTCATATTAATAAGAGGACAAAAGGCCACCTTTATTTCAGCACCAAGGACAGCGTTTGGCAAATTCACTGACAAAAAGCTTACTTTTAGATTATTGACAGAAAATATATCAACATTATGATATTTTGTTACATGGTAGCACATAATAATATTCCAACATGCATACGAAAAGTATTGTCAATTAATAATAATATGCACTACATTATATATTAAAGCTATTTTACAAAATTATCATTGAGGGTGCGACCCATTAGAATTGTTTAAACTAACGAATTATCAATGAAAACAACTAATGACCACATTGACCAAACATATGTTATTGTAGCCCTTATATCAGATTATAAAACGGACAAGTAAAATCAAGCAATCTGATTGGTTCTTAGCCGTGGTATACTGAGCGTATACCACGGGTAGAATTGTAAATTACTTTTCACAACAACTCAGTATCCCTCCGCGTCTGAGATAAACAGTATACAGTTGGGCTGTGTATTTTCAAACTGGAACAAGAAAGCAGCGGAGAAGTAACGGAGCAGAAACCCTCCTTTTTACGCAACGGTTCAGACATAGACATCAAACGGCAAAAACATATTCAGTGTGCAGTTCCTTTGGCATTAGGGCAGGGATATTTAGATACTTTCCAAGGTTTGACATAATGAATTGTGCTACTTTTAAAGCGAGCAACGATGTTTTCAAATCTGTAATCAAAAAGGTCCGCAAAAACATTTAAGATTAACTTCGACCTCCGGGGGGGGGGGGGGGGGGGTGTCTTACTATGGAGGAGTGGATTGAGGAGTGCCTATCTCCAGAACAAAAAGCACCTAAACGACGACATGTAGAGCGACGTGAAGAGCAGGTCGACCAACTGGAAAAGTATCACCATTCAAAAGCTTTCTGATGCGGGTCTTGAAACAAAGCAGAGAAATTATGACCGTTAGTGGCCACAGGTGCGAAAGCTCTCTCCAGAGCTACTGGAAGCCGAATCTCGGGGACCGGAGAAAGTGGAGCAATATTCTCGCCACACCAAGCAACAGCCTAGAACAACCTCAGCCTATACAAGTAACCACGTAAGCCATGCTACTGATGCTGGACAGTTTTTCAGTGGGTGCACAATAAACGGCAACATACACATTAATGTAAATAAATAGCCAAATAATGGATCAACGCTCTCTGTCTAATATGTTCGCTAGCTGTTGTTAGTGTTGTTGCATAGCAACCACCTCGCACTATGTTTCGTGCAGAAGGCAACAGAGGGACTATTTTATTTTGAAAATCATTATTTACTAATAAAAACTATTTAAATTAGAGTGTGTATTTTTCTTTCATATTGCCACACTTGGTAACCGTTTTATAAAAGCAATAGCTCACTTCAGGCCTGTCGTGAGCTATTGCTTAAATACACAAGTTTACCCTCTCACCTACAATTTCCCATCAACGCAGCACACAGTAGAATAACCATGGCAGTTCGATTTCATTTATAGGTACATTTACAAAAGTATTGAATTATCACCTGACCCCACCTGGCTTTACATATGACTTTGAAGCAATCTGGTAAAGTAACATTTAATTTGGCATGATGCAAAACATTAACAAAATAAATAATTTGGGTTTTTAGTCCCACATAGGGTAGTGTGGAGCACATCTTAGCTAATAACGTAGACATCAAATCAACTGGCAAGCGTCAGACTTGTGAAGCGTTTGGGGACTGTGGGAAAGTTGCCTACTTTGCCATACAGTTCATTGATGGAACCAATTAAACTACATAACTTATCGACCGTTTGTACTGGTCGTTTCTTTAGAACTGACGACCAAACATTTGAACTTTTCAAATGAAAATATGTTTGTGAATGTGTCCTTCCCTCTGATAACCATCCCTGCAGACCGGCAGCCCAGCCGCAGGTTAGTTTTCTTTATCCGCCTTTTCTCACGGAAGTAATTACGCTACTTTAACTATTGAATGGCTATTTCGTGTATCTGAAATATGTAAACCTACAACGTCTAACCAAATCAAAGTGGTTTTCTAAGCGAGCAACTGAACACAACTTATGTTACTGCTGGCATTTAGTCAGTAAAATGAATTGAAAACCTTTGTTAGATAAGATAACACTTATTGATACACGCTAACTGTTGATAGGCAGCACTTGTTTGTGATGTATGATACATTTAAAACCTTTTTTGCCTTATATAACCATCATGAGCTTAGTCATTAAGAGTGTTCAAATAAGTACTCAGATCCTTTATTTTTAGTAAAAGTACAAATACTATAATATTAAAAGACTCCACTACAAGTGAAATGTGTAAATGTTACTTAAATTAAAGTACAAAAGTATTAGCAACTAAATATACTTACTTACGTACTCATTCTGCACAATGACCCGTTTCAGACAAATATAAAGTACAGCAGTATTATAAGCTAAATGTACTTCAAGTATCAAAAGTAAAAGTACTTGTTATGCAGAATGGATATTTTCACAGTATTATATTATTATTGTTATCATTTTATCCTCTTTTCATACATGTAAGAGTATTTAAGAACTAGAAGGAGATTAGAAGTACAGTACTGCATTGTACCATATAAGCATATCATGTGTTTTTATATGTAAAACACTAGTCACTGTAGTAAGTAAAAAGTACAATGTTCCCCTTTAAAATGTAGTGGAGTAGAAGTATGAAGTAGCAATACATGGAAATACTCAAGTAAAGTACAAATATGTCCA